AGTTTGGTGTTGGTCCTGTTAACACAGTTTGTGAAGCCCCTGATGATAATACTGTTATATGTTCCTTTGCTGACAAATGGTTCAACTTTCTGAATATTGTTTACCACTGAATACTTAGCAGTATATTATGTTCCTTTGCTGACAAATGGTTCAACTTTCTATTCTTACAGAAGGTTGATACGTGTAGAGAAGATGATGATTGTAGGGAAGAACAAAGTATGGTAGATTCCCTATTGGAAACTGTAGGTGTCAAAGTTGAAGATCCATCAACAAGAACACTAGCTTTTCTAGAGTCCAATAGCAGTCTTGATTCTAACATTTTTGCTAAGCTCGTATGCATTATGACGGTTAAACAAATGGCTGGAAGGACATAACATTTGGATGCTTGTGATGTACTTTATGTGTTTCAAGTACCTATGTAATGACTACTTTATGTTTGCAGCCCTATGTAGTTAGACTAGAATTCAAGAATATTGGTATTTTGGATTTTGCTTTGTTTCCAAGAACAAGTTAACTTGTCTTTGAATTTTCATGTTGACTTTGATTTGAATCTAAATGGCAATTAGTTAGTTTTGGGATACTTTGATTATGAATTTGTTTTATATTTGTCTACAAGCTTGAAAATTAAACTTTTAGGTGGATATGGTGGTGCAAAAAAAGTATTAAAATTGTTCAATAGTTGATACTATAGTATCATAAATCTGGATGGCGCAAGAGTATCATAGGTTTTTGTAACATTAGTGATATCACTAATTTATATGATATCAAAGTGTCATTAAGTATACTAATGCAAATGTATCACTATATTTTATGATACTAACGTGTCACAATTTACTGATACTTTTTAGTGACACATTTTTTAGTGTCAGAGTTCCAACCATTCGTTGACACTTTTATGGTGTCACTAAAACTTTTAGTGACACTAATTTAGTGTCACTATAGACCATTTTTCTACTAGTGTTGCATCGTGATCACGGGTTAGGGTGGAATCCGAATCGGAGACCTAACTAGGTTCCGGTAGCGGTAACACATAAGATAGGACCCTGAAGGGCCTTACCTTCCTACGGGATGATGAGTATGAGTCCAGGGGCAGGATGTTGGAGTCCGAACCGAGAGCCTCATGAGGTCTCGGACAGCGGTAGCAAGTCCCGTAGAAATAATAAGACCCAAGGGTTGGGTTGTGCAAATGATAAATGAAAATGAATATATAAGAAGGGCCGTGTGCCGACAAATAAATGAATTTACTTATTATAAAGATAATAAGTGGGAAATATAAATTATTATTTATATTATGATAACACCCTATTTTGAGGGTCTTGGAAATTAAAACGTTAATTATATTTAGTATAGTTGTCATTGTACTTGTCAAATGCTTCCAAGTACTGACCTCCCCTTCACGGGGGAGGCCACCTCACAGTTTCAGGTAGAACTTGAAGGTTGCTACCATTGCCCGTTGCACCGGGAGGATCAAGAGAAGAAGATGTGGTTCGTGCTTCTTCTGTTTTCTGATTTCAAAACAATTATAATAATGCTCATGGATATTATTTTCGAATAATTGTTTTGGGGGCTTGTATGCCTAATTATGTCAAGTGTGGCTTGAACACTTGTATTTAATGCTTCCGCTGTTTTTAAATGAATGTTTTACATTATGTTTGTTTATGGATGTAATATGTGTGAATGGTATTCAAGACGCCTTGTATAGTATGAATGAGTTAGACTGCGGTTGACTATTCGTACTGTACGGCGGGTTGTTGACGTGTCCGGGTAGGTCCGGGGCGTGACATTATCTATCATGGCGGCCTACGAAGAATGGACAAACAAAAGGAATCTCTAAATAAGACTAAAACAAAAATAAATTTCATAATTAAGATTATCATTGTTTTATTCCTAAAATAGGACTTATCCGCTCTTTTTTTACAAACTTTGACCAAATCATTATTAATACTACTAAATAATATCTTCGTGAGAAAACTTTCACCAAACTTTCAACTAATTTTTCATGATGGATGATTCTATCAAAACTACCAGACAGGATTCACCGTCCGTTCACCAATGTTTGAGGTGGTTCAAGGTGGATTTATTTATGAAATTTTGTGAGAATGTTCTTGATGATGTGTAGATTTTTTACGCCACGTGTTTGTATTCATTTAAAATCACAAACGTCACTGTGAATTAATTCTAGTGGTTCCGTTTTTCTTTCAACCGATTTGAAAGACGTTTTCACTAGTTTTGCCTCTACACAAACTCCACATTTGTGATTAACATCAATTGTGAATTTAGGAATGTGTTCCATGTTAATTAATCTACGTATAGAATTAAAATAAACATGACCTAGTCTACTATGCCACACATCGGAAGACTCAAGCAAGTAAGCAGAAGAGATTTTATTATTATTATTATTATTATTATTATTATTATTATTATTAGTCATTACATTGAGCTTAAACAGCCCATCAACTGCATACCCCTTCCCCACATACATTCCCGATTTAGACATAACTAGTTTGTCCGAATCAAAGACCATGCGGAAGCCATGCTTGTTCAACAAAGAGCCCGAGATCAGGTTTTTGCGTATCTCCGAGACGTAGAAGACATTGTTGAGAGTCAGCTCCTTGCCCGAAGTCATCTTCAGGACCACCTTGCCCACGCCTTCAACCTCGGAATGAGCAGAATTTCCCATCCACGCCTTCTCACCGTTTGATGGCTCAAAGGTTGTGAATAGCTCTCGGTTAGAGCAAATATGCCGGGTTGCACCGGTTTCCACGAACCACTCCTTGGAATTGGATCCAACGAGGTTGACCTCGGTCACCACGGCCGCAAGAATGATGTCTTCATCCTTTTGCCCACCTTGCACCATGTTGACTTGAGAGTCCCTCTTCTTCTTGGGTGCCTTGCAATCCGCGGACTTGTGTCCGTTTTTATTGCAATTGAAGCATTTTCCGTTGAACTTTGTCTTGGAAAACGCCTCTCTTGGGACCGAGCTTGCTCTTCCCATTATTTTTGGTTTTGGAGCCCTTTGCATGCTCCACCACGTTTGCCTTGGCGCTGGTAACGATTGGTAGTTTCCCACCGTTCTTTCGATTATCCTCTTCAATCCGCAGACGGAGGATCAATTGCTCCAAGTTCATTTCCTTTCGTTTGTGCTTAAGGTAGTTTTTGAAATCCTTCCAAGCCGGCGGCAACAAATGTATAATTGACGCCACTTGGAAAGACTCACTGACTGTCATTCCTTCATCTCGAATTTCGTTGAATATCATTTACATTTCTTCAACTTGACTCAAGACCGTCTTCGCTAACTGTCATTCCTTCATCTTGAATTTCGTTGAATATCATTTGCATTTCTTCAACTCGACCGACAACAAATTTCTTTGCACAGGCATCCTCGCTCTTATATTTGTGGTCCAAAGCATTCCATAGCTCCTTAGCCGTAGCTAATTTGCTATACACGTCGTACATAGACCGAGAGTAGTTAGATAGAGGAGCATCTTTTGCTGCCACCTCTTGAAGTTTAACCCATTAAATTTTTCGGGTTTCTCCACAGAGTTGCTCGGTACGATCACCATAGGGATAGCCCTTTGGTTAACCAAAGCAGATGCACCGCGATGTGAACTATTGTTCACCGGAGCTTCGCTTTCAGAGTGATTATCGTTCAAAGCATTCTGCTCAACAACATTTTCATTTTCTTGAGAAGTCATTTTCCGTTTCTTACGTTATTCGAAAAACAAGTTCATTCACCAAGGTGACAAACTACAAGTTTAAGATTGTTTACCGTAGTAGAACAATCAACGAATGTGTTTTAAGTTTGTTGGGTGTGTTTCGAAAAACAAAGAAAATTAATTTATAAAAATTAATTAAATAAAATGACTAAAAGAAAAAAAAACAAGAAATGAGATGAAGCAAAATAAGTCAAAGTTCGTGCTACGTACACACGATTTCCTTAAAACGTATTCGTTGCCTCCCGGAGTGCTAGGAGCGTTGCAACGATCATTTCCCAGGATACGATGACTTCGAATAATAGTTTAGCACTAAAAGTAAAGTTCCAACGAACATGAACAATGGTAAGAACACAGAAGAGTTTTTATGGAATGGTAGAGGTGGTTTTAGCTGTGAAAATTGTACGAAGTGTATGAACGTGTCCCGTTTGCAAAGTACCTTCTAACCTTTTATAGGGGTGGATTATGGTGTGTTAATGGCTGTTTAAGGCTTGTGAACGTTGGACTTCAATGTCCTAAAAGTTGGGCATTGATTCCAGCCAATAAACAGCCCAAAACGTTCATATGAACGTTGGGACTTCAATGGCAACATACTGGCATTGATTCTCCAAGCAAGCTGTCCAAACCCGCTGCATTAAGGTACAATGACGTTGGGCATTTATGCTGCAACGTTCCAGGTCAGCATGAAGCAAAAATAAAATAGGAACGTACCAGAAGAACAACAATTAAACGTTATCATTAAAAGATAGATTTTCGGACGGCGTTCATGTGTGCAAGTCGCCAGCACACGTAGGTCGCGCTTTTTGTTCTTCGATTTCGAGATTTGATTCGAACCCCTGCGCACGTGAGAGAGCCTTTCCCTTTAGAAAGTTTAACTACTTAGGGGGGTTTCCCTTTATAAAGTGTTCAAATTCCCTTATGATTTTCGGTGTGGGAAAAACCCACACTAAAACCCACCTTTTCCCAGTTTTCTCCATTCCAATGGGTAAACTTCGAAAAGCGATTTCTCATTCACCCGTTATCCGTTTTGAGTGTACCATATATCGAATTGTATCCCTTAGCATGGACAATCCAAAACCACTTTGACCCGACCCAAATCGGAAGTGGACCCCACTCAAATAATTGCCCCAAAATGACCATTTAATGCAATATTTTAACACATTTTTCCAACATGACATACATGTAACTAGTCTCTCATTGGACACACATATTATATGTATATATGGAAATGCAGTCTGTAGCTATTAGATATATCAAGCATATAATTAGTACGAAAGATCAATCCATGCATGTTTATGTATATATAGGTGATAAAATGGAAATGGAAATATATGGTAATTAATTTAAGATGGGGTAGCTCCTATTGAGCGAGTAAGGAAGCAACAACTCCAACAAATGCGGCATTGATGTAGGTTATCGGCTCAGATTGCTCATAGTTTTCCCTCTTATCGCGGTACCGATCTTGAGAATCGGGACCGCCCACAATGGCTCCAACATGGAGGTTAGGATTCGGATCAGTTGATGTCAGGGCTTCAGTTTTGCAGAACATGGGCTCAGACTCGGCCGACACCGATGGAAGAGAAGAGCCCCTGTGGTGTAATTGGAGCGGATACCTTTCCCCGAACCCAACCATGTAGGACATCTTTTCCGGGTTATCCCCCAGAACGTAGTCCACCTGTCGCTTCGCAAATTCAATGAGTTCATTTGCCTTGTGGCCACGTTTATTGGCCACGTCAGACAGTTCCGCCGACTTCAGCTGTTTTGCATGGGTTACTAGGAGAAATGATGCTGTCAGGTGTTGGAGATTGCTCCACTCGGCGAGGTAATAGAGCCCCCCTGCCATGGATATGCATGCAAATCGATCAATTAATTACTTCCCATTACATATAATGAATCATATATACATATACTAATACTAGCTAGTAAGTGGTGCAGTTATTATGAAAAATTTGCTATGATATCTAATTGCTAATGTAACTAAGAGTACATAAGAATGATTTATAATTACGTTTTATCAAATTTGGTATAACACAATCTTGATAAATACACATGCAGAAAAGAAAAATGAATACACAATCTTAGCGGATCGGAGAAAGTATATAATATACGGAGTACTTCCTAATTTAATATCCCTATACTACGTACTTCGTATATTATACGTAGTATAATTGCAGGAGGAATATGATCGATGACCTATGCATTTTTGGAAACTTTAGAAAATCTTTGGAAACCCTTCAAACAAGCATTTTTGAGCAAAAATTGACGTTTCCCGTTTCCTGTTTCATCATGATTTTCGTGTTTCGGTGCAGCATAGTACAGAGGTAGTTGGATGATCTTATCTCATGTAACTCATGTATATAAATACCTTACCAAAAAAGGATGACACCCCATCCCCGAGAGACTCCAACCCCAACCGGACGGTACTTTGGGAGGATGTAAATTGGACTATAATCACAATCTAACAGATAGAAAGTGAGCATCTGTCCCCGGTACTTGCAGAGGCCCTATGCATTTTTTAGCATAGTAACCTCTCATCGCAGTTGTCGGGATTCGAACCCGGGACCTAACCCTTGTGGCACTCCCTAGACTAGACCAGTATAAAAAATAAAAAATCTACACGAAATTTGTTACTTTAAAAATGAAAGCATCTACTCCCTTTGTATTTAAGAGTTCCTTACACTTTCCTTTTTGGGTTGTATTTAAAAGTTCCCTACACTTTCATTTTTGGTAAGTTTACCCTTTATAAAATACTCAATTATCCTTATTTTATCTACTTTTTGTCTTCTTTTTCATACTTTTACACTCTTTCTCTTACGTTTTCTACACTATTCACTACTCCTACTACTTTACTCCAACTTAATGTAGTGAACATTTAAACACGAAAGGAGTATTAAATTTGGGATAGACAGTCAGCTTGGTTGGAACCCTATCTCAGCCACTGCGCTCAAAAACAAAATTTTCAATGATTACACACAAACCTGGTGTGAATGGGCCATTAAGTACATGGCCAACGTAAGTGTCGGCATGTTCCGTGTACACCTCTAAATCTTGTTTGCCGCTCTCCAAGAATATCTGTATAAATTGTATGCATGTTAATTAATGTCATTTAATTATAAGAAATTTATCTAAAATTTTACTCATAATTAATGTCATTTAAGTATAAGAAATTTATCTAAAGTATTACTCAAATAAATTGTATGGATAAAAGCAGGGGCGGAACCAGGACACTGGGCCGGTATAAAGAATATTTTTAGAAAACAACTTAAACGAAATTTTTTACCTTAAAAATTAAGTCATTTTTAAAATTTGGGGTGGGCCATAGCTTAGGTTGGACCACCCCTAGCTCCGCCCATGGATAAAAGTGACCAAGTGTATACTTTTACTAAAATAAAATATATGGATAAAATATTATGAACCTAATAATTATAGCAAGTTAGCAACTAATATTTTTTATTTCATATCATATCCTTGTGATATGAACTACTTAGTAGTGCATAAATGTTTGTTTTTATGTTATTTTGTGTTGTTTGTTTACCATCGTTATGTAGTTTGCAAGCATTTGTTTGAATTTATTTGTAATTGTTTTTAGCTTGTATTTAAGTTATAAAGTAGTGGTAGAGTTGTAGGAGTTGGAAAAGAGGAAAAACATGAAGAAATACTGCTCATGGAACTTACCCGGCCGGGTAGATATCTTCACTCGGTCGGGTAAGACTTAACAACTGCTGCTGCTCGGAAATTACATCATCCGGTCGGGTAAACTACCTCACCCGGTCGGGTGAGATTTGACCGAAGGCAAACGAACATGCTGAAGAACACTAGAACATGGAAAATATTTGATTTTCACCGGTACCCGGTTGGGTGGGCTCTATACCCGGTTGGGTACTCATCCAAAGGTGTTGAAAAATACCTATAAATAGCACACTTTTCATTCACTAATTTCCATTCTTTCTTATATACTCTTAAGCTCAGTTTAGAATAGCATTTTTTTATATTTTTCTAGTATGTTTAGTCTCCAAATGAGAAGCTAAACTTCCATTTCTTGATGTTGCTCTTGAAGCTTGTTGATTATTAAAGTTGTGAGTTATTTTCTTAACCTCTCTCCTTGAATATTAATTCTTCCCTTAATCTATTTCTATATTAATGTTAAGGAGTGTTGTTAAGATGACAACTAGTCAACATCTCTCAATATATAACCCGGTCGGGTATAATTTAAAATCATCACACCCGCCCCATCACCTGGGCGAGGAAGGCAAGAAAATTAAAATTTGATCCACCCGACCGGGTAACTCAAACCACCCGGCCGGGTATTCAACCCCAGAATCCACTGCCAGCTCCAACAATAAAACCTAACCGGGTACGAAACCCTACCCGACCGGGTACGAGCATCTACACGGTTCACCATGTCGAGCAGACAACCTCCCCATCCACTCTTCTTCAAGCCCTCCATCCAAAATCCACCATTTTCATACTTGAAGCTCTCATATCTCCCGTATATATACATCCACCAATTAACTCCCAAATAACCAAAAATCCAAATTCCCTAACCCCACCTTCACCAAGTCTGAAATTCCCCCTACCAAAAAGGAAGAAATTACACCACAAAGATGTTCATTTTCTATGACACCTCGGAGATAAGCACTAGGGACAGTGCTTTGGCTAGCTTGGGGGGAGTGTTTCATGGAATACTCACATTCATACTCTTTATTCTTGTTCAAAAAAAAAATTGTTAAGAAAAAAAATTGTTAAGTTGAAAACCTGAAAGGGCAACTTAAGCAAAAATAAAGCAAAACTAAGTGAGTTGTGAGGATAAAAACAAAAAAATGTGGGGAGCTGGGATGAAAACCCGAAAGGGCACCTAGGTAAAATGAGAGAACGAGAGAAATTATCTCTTTTATTTCTGCAGTATCCTAAGGGTAACAATGAAACCTTGAGGTTGATATGAAATATGGAGTTGAAGACCCCTCTTTACTTTTGGGGATATGTTGTGTTGTTCTAAAAACACACTTGATGTTTGTACTCTTGTCACTTTAAGGACTTCTTAGACTAGATTTGGTTTACTCGAGACGAGTAAAGGTTCAAGTGTGGGGGTGTTTGATATGAACTAGATAGTAGTGCATAAATGTTTGTTTTTATGTTATTTTGTGTTGTTTGTTTACCATTGTTATGTAGTTTGCAAGAATTTGTTTGAATGTATTTGTAATTATTTTTAGCTTGTATTTAAGTTATAAAGTAGTGGTAGAGTTGTAGGAGTTGGAAAAGAGGAAAAACATGAAGAAATACTGTCCATGGAACTTACCCGGCCGGGTAGATGTCTTCACCCGGTCGGGTAAGACTTAACAACTGCTGCTGCCCGGACATTACATCACCCGGTCGGGTGAACTACCTCACCCGGTCGGGTGAGATTTGACTGAAGGCAAACGAACATGCTGAAGAACACCGGAACATGGAAAATATTTGATTTTGACCGGTACCCGGTTGGGTGGGTTCTATACCTGGTCGGGTACCCGTCCAAAGGTGTTGAAAAACACCTATAAATAGCACACTTTTCATTCACTAATTTCCATTCCTTCTTATATACTCTTAAGCTCAGTTTAGAATAGCATTTCTTTATATTTTTCTAGTGTGTTTAGTCTCCAAATGAGGAGCTAAACTTCCATTTCTTGGTTTTGCTCTTGAAGCTTGTTGATTATTAAAGTTGTGAGTTATTTTCTTAACTTCTCTTCTTGAATATTAATTCTTCCCTTAATCTATTTCAATATTAATGTTGGGGAGTGTTGCTAAGATGACAACTAGTCAACATCTCTCAATATTAATTATTACTAGAAACGATCAACGAACCGATGGTTAATCGTTGATGGTTTCACAAGTAAGTAACTTCGGTTTATTAATGCACGGTCGTGGTTAATAGACTTAAGAGAGATTAATTTTGTTGGTTAAACCGAAACCGTTGTGTTGAGGTTATTAATCTCAATTGATTTCATCAAGGAGATAGAAAGATTAAATGCTACTATTAAATCGGTATAAGCTAGGCGTTGTTCTATATTTGATTAATAGTAAGGGTTATTAATGAATGGTCATTGTTAATAACTACCCTCGATGAATTGGATATACTCCTCGATTGAGTATTCGAGAGGGGATAAGTTATAGATATAACAAGGATCGACTAAATATATCAACAAGTGGAAAGTAGCAAAACCAAATCTTTTATCATCATTAATTAAAATCATTAAGTCATTCATCTTTGTATTAAATTAATTAAATCACTCAATCCCAAAAACCCCCTTTTATTTACTAGTTCATAAAAAGAAAAGTATTCCTTTCCCTGTGGATACGAACTCTACTATGCTATACTACGTATAAGTGTTAGTATTGAATATATTTTGACGCACTACGACAAAGTGCCCGTCACCTTGTTTGACTTGTTTCCGACATATTCGGAGTACTCCGTATTAGGTAATATATATTTCTAATTACGAATAGAACAACTTCTTAATATCAACCATATTAATGGAGTATAATTCTCAGAATAAATACCATATCAATTCAATTTTCAAATTAGTTACGTTGTAGAACATCGAATTCTTTAAATAATAAGACTAATACACTTAATATGACTCCAATCATACAAAACTAATCTTACACATTTGAGTGAGGCTCTAATTGAAGACCAAATTTTTAAATAATGAAACTTGAGTTCACGTGAACGAGATTCTAATCGTACAACACCTGTAATACATGTGAATATCCAAAATAATGTAAAATTGTAAACTCAACATCTTCCCTATTCCAATTCAACACTTCTTATTATCATCCCTCATCATATAATTAGCCCTATAAATAATTAATAACTATTACGTAGTACTATAATAAGCACATAAACCACCACATAACCACAAATTCATACTCCAAAAGATCTTCATTTCTCACCCATATTCCATGGTGGTGGTTAGTTCATGCTACCTTCGTCCCTCTTTATTTAGCTATCTTTGACTTTTCCAGTCAAAGATGATAAACTTTGATCCATTATTTTAATTAATATATTTATGTGAAACTTAATAAATTTATACTTTTATGATATTATTTTTATAAAAGAAAATATTCATATCATTTTCATATTATCAACATTATCGTGTATAAATACATAATTGGTCAAATTTTAACATCATTAATTTGAACAATAATGTATGGCTAAATATGAGGGACGAAGTAAAAGAAATTGATTATAGTCAAACTTTTGATCATATCCTATAAATAGTTCACAATGTTTAATATTTGTCACCTGATCCATATAAGATTAACACTATCGGGGGCATGTCCCGGGTGTTACACTGGACCCGTATATGAAAGACATTGGAAGTACTTCTACGTTACTATTTCATTTAAACACTTCAATACTGCGTACGTAGTATTTGATTCTATTCTTAGAAGACATAGAAACATTTCTAAAAAGGAGATCTAAAGACCCTAATGAATTATTGTCGTGCATGAGAGAATGAATTAAGTTAATGATACCTACCTTGGATAGGAGAACTTTTGTACCAGGTTTTTTGTTGTCCCAGCTGAAGGTTAGGTCGTCATTTAAATCACGTAACTTTGCAATGGCATCTAAATAATAATCATTCCCTGAAGCATGATGCAGCCAAGCTGCTGCCCACAAAAGCTCATCCTGAAGTGTGCAATGATTTAAATTTAATGAGCTGTGACGTAGACTTGAATTTAGTGAAGGAATGCATTGATGAAGTATCATGTGCAATGAATCGAAGGCAATAGACCAATAACAACGACACGAGATGTAATATATTTAACTCGACGTAAAATACTAATTTAAATTTATTACATCTTAAAATAAAAAAAAAAGAATGATAAAGAAATTCTAACGTCGACGAGAAGAGAATTAATGTTGGTGGGAATGCAGTGATTCGTACCGGATGTGTAATAATGTCGTGCAGTAATGTTGTGCAATAAATGTAGTATAAAGTGCAATATTTTTAATTTGACGGAAATAGTGTAAAATGCACATTTTTAAAATAAGGGTATTTTGATCATTAAGCATTAAATAAAACACACACAGAGAAAAGTTATCCTCAAGAATTCGTGACTGGAAAGGTCGTCCAGCCACCATCATTTGGAGTAGTTTTCGGTGGAGGTTTTTGATGAAATTTTGAGAGTGTTTTCTTCAATAAGTGTAGATTACGTGCACAAAATTTAAACTCAAAACTCAATAAAAAGCCAGTTAAATAAATTATTGAAAAACAATGTGTTGTTTATATATATTTGTGAACCGTCACATAATGTCATGTAATTATTAGCGTAAATATACAACTGACTTTTAATAAGATGACTTATATTACTAAGTTGATGTAATATAGTAGCGTGAATTTGTTTAATATCATTTGTTGATAAATCTATAATTTTTTTTGAAAACTAATAAATCTATAATTTAGTTAACCAATTATTATTAGTGTAAATAATGAGAAAACAAGTAATTTAGATTAAAAATTTGTGAATATATGTAGATGAGATATAGATACAAAGATAAGAAATTAGAGATTCAAAATTTCAATTTACAAATTTAGATACACAAATAGTGAAATATGAAGAAGGGAATTAGAGTATTACTAAATTAACGAGTAAATTTGTTAATTGCTTTTGCTTATAATAACTTTGTTAAGTTTGTTAATTTGGTTATACAATTAGCATGTTTTTATTTTTACAGACGTTTTTGGGATGAGGATGGACAGCGAACCTTAGAGCCCGGCGTGCGGCGAACTAGTGCCTTTCCTTCTTCCCATTTATCAACGACGAAGAGGACATGTTTCAGGGTTACGTACGTAGGATTCCGGCACAATACATGCATGTGTTTAGTGATCCAAACTAGGGGTGGGATCGGTCCGGTCTGGGTCGGAATTTTGCTAAACCCGGAAATTACCCGGAAGAGCCCGGGTTATGAAAATTAAGGACCGGAATAAAACCCATTGTGTTCGGTCCGAGTCGGGTTTGTGATAGACCGGATTCGGTCTGGGTTCGGGTTGGGCCGGTTAAAGCCCGAATGTGAAATCATATCATTGTCTTTTTATATTTTAAAACCTATTTTTAAATAAAACTAATCAAAAACACAAGCCGCAAATAATAACACAAATATTAGTCTCCAAAATCACCAACAATTCAAATCCAAAGAAGATAATTATCTTAATATTTTGTTTAAGATGCATATAAATAAATAATATAAGTTTTCTAAAAATATTACGGAATAAAACTTATGGATAAAAAGTGACTAGATTTACTTTAATAAATATATTTCAATGGTCATTATGGTAAACCAATTGAACATATTTTTAGTCACTAAAAGTTACTATGTCATGTTCTCATCCACCGTGAGTATAATCATATATTCGGAATTATATATATATATATATATATATATATATATTATATTTGTATAATATATTGATTTTATATTAAAGCTAATTGTTTCGGGTTTTTATCGGTCTGGGCCGGGTTATAGATTTTAGGGCCCGCTTATAAGCCTGAATTTTCGGGTTCGGTCCGGATTTTTTTATTCGGGCCGGTTAAATAGAAAAAACCCGGACCGGGAATATCATTCGGGCCGGATTAGGGTCGGTTTTCGGGTTTCGGTTCGGTTTTCCCAGCCCTAATCCAAACTATATGGTCATCAACGTTTAGAGATTCTTGGTAAATGTATGATCCAATGGGATTATTCTTGTCTTCTGATTATGTTGATTTTGTTCTATGGCGGCTCTTTTCCAGGCACTGGTGCTCCGAGGTGGTTTCTCTCTCTCGATGTGGGAAGCTTTTGTTGGTGTCTCGGCTAGCTTCGTTTGGTCAGGGGCTTCTGTGTGCTTTCTTTTAGAGTGTGTAGACATTGATAGAGCTAAAAAAATTAGGATGTTTTTAATTGGATTGAAATTTGATGGTCTGGTCTGATCTTATCTCGTCTAGTCTGAACAAGTCCGGTCTGCTTTGATAAGTAACTTGTCTTTGTGTATTTTGTAATTGTGAAAGTCTGGTAGTCTTTTTAAGTCTGCTCTGGTCTGATCTGTTTAAGTCTGTTCTAATATATTCTGATCTGTTTAAGTTTGGTCAGATCTATTCTGATCTGATCTAGTATGAATTGGGTCTGAAAACATTCCAAGTAAAAACATCCTTAGTACTACGTACCTTCATCCCGCTTAAAGGTTCCCGTTATAATATGACACAGTTATTTAGACAATAATTAAATAAGATAATTTGAGTATTTTGAGAAAATAATTTTGATGGGTATATTATTCATAGTACAAGTATATAATAGTCATTAATGATAAATTGATAACTATGCTTTTATAAACTTAAAAAAGAGATTTCCCGGTTAGAGTGTGACAGAACTTGATCGGAAGCGGTATCGGCTAACAGCAGTTCGCGAGCAAAGCTTAGAAGAGGACTCATTTTTTTTTTAATAGTTCATTACTGTCCGTACATGATACCCCCACTAAATAATGGTACGCTACGGTCAATTAATGAGTTTAAAGAACAAGCTTTCCTAATGAAATAGATTTGCCTCCTAACAGGAATAGCAAGAGCAGATTCCTGTTGTACAATGTATTTTATCTCTTTTATGTTTTTACATTTAGTTGTTTCATTTTTTATTCCGTCAAATTTGTATTAGAATTCATTTGCCCATTTTTAAATTTGATCAGACATTATTTAATTAGAACGAATTTAATAACAAAAATATAATCAGTGACAAAAACATTATTTATTTAGACAGTTTTACCAATAATTATACCATGAATAAATATTGCTTCGAAGCGGCGAAGGGCTTAGATTCACGGCGGCGGCGGTCCTAGCAAGTCTAGGTTTTCGGCGGGCGACGCTATAGCTTTCTTGGCGCTTCAATTAGGGATAGACTCGGGCCTGGTTAACCGGTACTGTTACGGCCTGGACCAGCCCGGTACCCGGTTCTGTGCCCGGTTCAGGCCACCCGGCCCAGCACTGTAGAGGGGCGGTTCTCGGACCTCCCAAATCACGAACCGGCCTGGCCGGTTCGGGCCCGGTTCGTTCCATTTTTTTTTGTTTTTCACAATTTTTGAAAGGTAAATGGGTTGGGCTGGGTGTTTTGTAGGGGTTTGGGGTGTGGGGGGTTGGGGTGGGGGTAGGAAGTAATTAGAAAATAAAAAAAGGGTACCGGCCCGGCTCGATAATCGCCGGGTGAACCGGCCTGACCCGGACCGGCCCGGACCGGTAACCGCCGAGTGAACCAGCCTGACCCGGGCCCGGAGCTACCATGGCCCGGAGCTACCCGGGCCGGTTTCCGAGCCTCACTTCTCCAAAAAAAATCCCAGGCGGAACCAGACTGAGGCCCGGCCCGAGGCCATCCCTAGCTTCAGTGTTTCGGAGTTTTGCTAGTTTTTCTCATATGGAGCATAGGGTGGGGCGTGGGAGCATTCGGGATCGCAGGGTCTTGACGACTCTCAATTACAGCTAGGGCTGTTAAGGAGCCGAGCCGAGCCGAGCCCGAACATCCAAAGCTCAAGTTCAGCTCGATAAGGAATTAGTGGTGTTTGGGTTCGAGCTCGAAGCTCGACGAGCTTTACAGATGAGGCTCGTGTTCGGCTCGATAGGCGTTCGATGTTCGGAACGAGCGCTCGATAAGCTCGATAAATATGGTTAAATTAAAAAATTTAGGTGATGCTCGTTAATAGGCTCGTGCTCGAATGATTCGACAAGTATTCGGTCCGTTAATAATCATATTTAAATTCATAAAATCATACTAATTATATTTAAATTTTGAAATATATATAAATTATATTTATAATTTCAGGTGTTCGATAAGCTCGAGTTCGAACCGAGCCGTATACTACTATGTTCGAGCTCGGCTCGATTAAGTTTTCGAACTTAAAACTCAGGTCGGGTTCGAGTTCGAAAGCTCATTAAGCTCGGCTCGTTAGGTTCGAAACCGAGCTCGAACTCGAATAGTTCGATAAATGCTCGGTTCGTTAATAGCCCTAATTGCAGCACAGGGGAGATGATAGGGATCTGGAGTCTGTTCGCGTTTGGACTGATTGTGCTCGTGCGGTATGTAATTGGCCAAGAGATGGAGGCAAATCACGGGCAGATCAGGGTGTTGAAGGAAGAAGATGAAGGGATGAAGATTCGTCCTCCTCTTGAACCACCGCCATGCTCGAAATGGGTGATCAGGGGTCGGAACACCGCGCTGCAAGATTGGGTTCAACTGCTCAATAAGTTCATCCTGCTTCAATTCAGTGTCCCCATTTTTAGTATGTTTTCGAAGAAATTCATTGCTATCATTTTGCTTGTGGTATTTGCTTATGGTAATAGGTTTTTTACATTGATCGAGGGTTCAGCTAAATTTGATATTGTTATTGGGGGACGGATCTATTTTTTACATTAAGCCCGTCTGGTGGTTAGCGATTCGTATTTCTCCTTTAGGGGTGGTCGTCTCTATGTCTAATCGTAGGGCTAAAAGTAGTAGTTGGAAGCTGAAGGTTGCTGTCAGTTCTGGTCATTTTGAGATTGTTGTAACGATCTTGATTCTAACGATATCAATATAGTCGTTTTCCTTTATAAAAAAAACAATAATATAATCAGATAACATGCATTAAAATATAGTGAGAAATTTTTTTAATCAGATTAATATTTTCCTATAAAATTTAATCGAATGAAGTGAAATTTAATGAATTAATATGTAATTAATCATCTACCAAACTTAATTCTAACCCACCAAAGAATAATGTTTATTATAATGAACAAGGCCCAGTCGGAATGTTGCATTCCTAACAGATGGTTAAAAAACAAATAATAAACTAGATTTTTTTTCTAGATATTACTAAAATAAAAATAATTTCCAAAAAAGTGAGCACATTTACATTTAGACAAAATTAAAAGTGACTAAGATGGTTATGTATTTGAAAAAATTAAAGTGACTCTCACATCGCCATAGTGACACAGACACTGTGACACTGCCGCTGCTCGAAGACCGTCGTCGGCCACAGTGGCACCGCCACAATGGCACCGGTCAGAGAGACACTTACCAAAGTGACTCCGATACAACCGGTCAGTGACGAAATCGCCGCCCTAGGGGTCTTTCATAGGATAGAAGGAGTAGAAGAAGAGATGCTAGAATGGAGGTGGCGTCAGTGTCGACGTCGGCGTCGATGATGATGCAGGCAACGATGGAGCCATGTGATGATGATGCAGCGGCGATGGAGTAAATGTAAGAGAAAGTTGATGCAGAAGAGATGTGAAACGCGAGAGGGAGATGGACCTTAAAGATTTAAATCAGTTTTTTGTCCAAACAAAAAATGATCATATTTTTCTCCTTTCTCCTTTCAAACTTCACTAGTAATTTTTGGGTCATTCTTTCTTAAATCTATGATTTGGAATGTTGGAATCCCAATGTATTTCTTTAAGAAAATGAAAAGTCCATTTGGAATACCCACTTCGGAATAGGTTCATTCTCTAAACTCACCCTAATTTTTTTTATCATGTTTTATGAAACTTTTTGTATTAATGCTTAGAAAAATCAACTTGTTTTTAATCATACATGGAGTATATACAATATACTTGATCCGTAGTAGTATTCTTGAAAAAAGTTATACAACAAGTATATCCAGTGCTTCTTCCAAAAAAAAAAACAAGTATATCCAGTGCTTGTTTCATTTCAGAATATCAAGAAAATGAATGTAGGAACTTAATTAATATAATGGATGGAATTGAAGAAGCTGATTTTGCGTCTTACATTGTATCCCGAGACTGAATTGTAAAATTTCCTGACCACATCACCAAGGGATTGGCTGTAAGAACCTCGATGATTCAGAGCAAACTCAAACACCTGCAGTCATATACTTCGGAGTAAAGAGATAGGCCGCATGATCAATTGAGATGCTAAGATGGATGGGCTAAGGTAACGTACAACTTTTGCCCTTTTGAGCAACTGATCGGAGTAACCAGGCTTGGAGTCTTTGAAGACGATGGAAGCAGCCGCCAGTGCGGCAGCCGTCTCACCTGCCACCTCAGATCCCGGCTTATCAGCGGTAACACTGTACACCGGTCGCGGCTCTCTGTGGTCCAAGTCCTCTGGCCGCTCCCAACACGGGTGTTCCTTGATAGGGTTACCTACCTGGCCGTATACAAAAACCGTGTGATTGAAATTTATACAAGGGCAATTATTTATATACACGGGAACAAACAATAATTTAATGATGACATTGGCAATTCTTAACGATAGTTAATAATTTTTCGTATAATTTAAAGTTTGAGATTTTTAAAATATCATATATCCCTTATAATTAATTAAGCTTCTTTTGTTGGGGGCTCACTTGGACATATAGAACTCCTTTGCTTATGTCTCCCGATGCTTTCAACAAATAATCAGTGCCCCATCCGATTGCATCTTTGGCATGCTCTATTTCATTTCCCATCGCTTCTCCAAACTCAATAACGCTCCAAGATAGAAGTGTGATTGTGAATGCCATTGGCAGCCCAAACTTAATGTTATCCCCCGCGTCATAGTACCCACCTACAAGATCAAGATCATCCTGCGGGCAGGACAACAAAAAATTAAGCACATACAAATTTGAATTTACCACAATACAATATACCTAGATAACCTAGGTAGTGTCGGGGTTTTAAATTGCATGCCGCCGCAATATTGCGACTGCGGCAACACCACAACCGCAATATCAGACACGCAACACTAACTTGATTTTCTTATTTTTTTCGGTCGAATGAAAAATCAATTCACACCACATTGTAACGTTGCGACTGCAACCGCAATTTAAAACCCTTAATAGCAGAGTCCAGAACTCAAGATATGGAACTTGTAACATTACTCTGACGCTTTTCCCATCACTCAAGGCAGAGTATCCCCTCCAATCAATACGTTGAGTTGCGGGCAACTTCCCGGATCGCTGCCCCTCGAAGAACAAGATGGATTTCCCTAGGGCTTCGACGTAGTGTTGGTGAGTGAAGGCGCTAGTAGAAGAGCCAGATAACAAGAATGAAAGGGTTATGAACGCGCATAAAATGTGCATGTTCCAGGAATGCAGTTTCATGCTTCGGCTATTCTTGATCAATTCGGATCGACACCTAGCGACAATAATATATAGCAAAATTCCCTTTTACACGCCGGTTTTCACACGTCGGGTTACATGTCGGTTAAATTGATCGGCTACACAGACAATTTGACCGGGCTTTATGAAGAAAACCAATTTTCACACAGACAAAACTAAAAAAAGTATCTGTATCACAAACATTATTTTAAAATTCTCGTTTAAAATTGTCTGTATCACAAACATCTTATGAAAAATTCTCTTCTAAAATGTCTGTGATATAGACAACTCTCAATTTTTGTCTGTGTATAAATCGATTTTTTTCATAAAACGTCAGTCAAATTTTTTGTGTAGCCGGTCAAATTGTCTGTGTGCAGACAATTTGACAGGCGTGTAACCCGACGTGTAACGTAACCCGGCGTGTACACGTTGTGAGACTCCGTAATGTTTTAACTGCTTTGAATTGGATATATATATATATATATATATATATATATATATATATATATATATATATATATATATATATATATATACTTCCTCCGTTCTTAAATAAATGCAACGATCAACATTTCACATTTGCTGAGACACAACTTTGACCATTAATATAAATGATTTTGTATTAGTAAAAAAATTAAAAAAATTAGATTATGAAAATTTACAATGAGACAAGTTTAACAATATTTTTTTCATAAAATAATATTATTACATTAATAAATAAAACGTAGTCAAAGTAAAACATGCGAATAGTGTAAAAATCAAAGTCTTGCATTTATTTAAGAACGGAGGTAGTATATAATACTACCTATGTCTCATAAAATTTGACCAACTTTCGTTTTTTTGCCTCTCCAAAAAACTGTGTCTTTTTCAATTAAAATAACAAATACTAGTATGTGGTTAATGTTATTTCTCTTTCGGTGGACAAATATAATACCGGGGCTACGCGCGGATCGAATATTTTTCACATCCGTCTCCTCCCCGAATCTGCTGCGTTTATTGGGGATATCACCCTTTTTTCCTGTTTTTTTATGATGATTACACCACTGAAATTTAATCCCGTATCATCGACCTATTACCGAGTATTAAAAAGTCTTTGTTAAAAAGTCTAGTTAAATCTACGTGAAATGCATGGAGTTGACCAAGTTTATGCAGAGTTAATTTTAATTCTTTTCTTTTTAATTGTATTGATCTTTCAATAATGCTTTGTCAACAATTTTAATTAGAGATTTGGAATACATAGTATTTTGTTACGGAGTAATAAATTAAAGAAACAAATCAATCCAAAAAAATTAACAACAAATAACCCAAAAAAATTAAAGTAAAAATTATTTGAAAAATAGTTAAAACAATCACATTCGGCAAATATAGCTAAAAAGTAATTCCAAACATACAGCCTTTTAAAATATGAAGTTTTCCTCTAAAAGGTCACCCTGCTAGGAAAATAACTCAAGATCATAATATATCAGTTTATTACTTCATATTTTACTGGTGTATGTAGGACTTTAGCATACTTTGTATTATTTATTTTAATTATATTACAATTCAACGCGAAAAAAAGGGGGAAATAATTTGTATACCACAAACTTTAATGATGTGTGAGATAATTATCACAAACTTGCATATGTAATATATACTTCAAACTTTATATAAATAGTTATTTTCGAATCATGAATGTATGTTTTTTCAAAAAATACAAATTTATTGGAATAATTTAAGTTTGTTAGAATGCAGTAAACATTCTACAATTTCATTGTTGAAATAAAGAATATCACATCCACCTTAATTTAATTTTAATTGCATCTTCATAATGTTTTGTGTATATTAAATTATGTACTTAACCCCATAAAATTATTTGTAACAAACTATATGATCATGGTGCTAACATAATTTTTAAATGAAATTTGGGGTACTTATCTCACACTCCTTCAAAATTTGGATATTTAAATAATTTCCTCCCAAATAAATCACAAACAAAGAACTTTTTTCTTGACAACAATACAAATTAAACTAGTATAATGTAATTATGTGATTAAATCATATAGTTTTAGAGATATCTAATTGATTAAACCTGCTCTAACCACGGATGAATCCAGAATTTGTTTTTTTACAATATCAAGTATTTATGGATGGGAGCAAAAAGTCAAATTCATTGGTGTAGGAATCTTTTGTCTATTCTTCTATGCAAAAAAATTATTAGCACATACACAATATTTAAATATATATATCACATTTTAAATTGACACAATAAGATAAACAATTTAGATTTCATCTATGAAGCACAGATACTTCACCAGAGTACCGTATCGGCGTATCAGACACGTTCCCGTATCAGATACTCCAGGATACCCGTACCGTACGTTCTCGGGCCGTATCTTTAATTTATTAAAAGTTTACAACTTTTTGGTAATTATTTTAAAATTTCGGATATCCTGTATCATGACGGATACACGTATCAACTTTTTTTATAAAAACAAAACAAAAATTACATAAAAAATTCTTACAAAATGAAAAACCTCAAAATTAATTTTTACCTTGCTTTAATCCCGCACACATACAACTAAGGATATGGACAACAAGTAAAATGTGGGGTGTTGGTAGAGATGACTTTGTAAGCATGGAGGATGTTGGAGTACTTGAGTTTGCTAATCTTTTCATAGATGAATCAGAATTGGAGGTTAACTTTTTAGAAGACGATATTATCCCTGGAAATTAGTAGCTATGGTGGAAATATGTATTAAAACTTTTAGTTTTTTATTAGAGTATTGTTTTCTATTTCCATTATCCAATAAATTTGAGTACTTACACTTTTAATTTCAAAGTTGTGGTTGTTTGAATTGTTTCTCATTTCCAATTAATGACTTATTGACTATATTTATATTTCAAGATGCACTAGCATATATAAGGTAAAATATGAATTTATTTCTAACTATCTTGATAATGTGAATTAAGTACTTACACCACGAGCTTTTACCGCACACTTTGTCCTCACTCGTGCGCGCCCTGGAAAACTTCCCAGAGGGTCACCCATCCCAAGACTATGTCCGTGCAAGTACGCTTAACTTTGGAGTTCTTAGCTAATGAGCTCCCTTAAAAGGAGATGCATCTTGTTGGTATGAGTAATACTGTCATGCCCCAGATCGTATCTAATCGCGTGTACAATCGTCGTATAACCAAGTGACATCACTCGCAAGTCAACATGACTTATTCATACAAGGCGTCCATGAACATAGTCCATACCATACCTCATTAAGTAAACATATATATTAACATCACAGTTTGGATTAAATGAATAGCGAAAATTTTCAATAATTAATCATGGGCCACACATGGTCAAAACGGGGGCTCGCAGGCCCAAAACAATGTATTCATTACATAAATATTCATGAGCATAGTTTGTAGTTTAAAACTGTAAAGGAATCACGAACCACGTCTTCCTTTGGATCACTCCCCGAACAATGGTGAGGATAACAAGCTTTAGTTTCAACCTGAAATGGTGGGGCCCCTCGAAGGGGTCAGTACGCGAATATCGAGCGAGCAGTAAGCTGAATATAGCATAACTAACGTTTCAAGTATAAGATTCAAACATAGGGTGATACATACACATATAGTTCTTTCCCCAGGTTATGAAATACGATACATATCAGCATATATATACACTTGGACATACCCGACCCGTAGGTCATTGTTTATCTGGAAAATAATAGTAGTCAATGTGATACGTTTGTAATTTCCATATTTATGTTTGTGTTTTAAATTAGTTTTGCTTGATCTTTACTATGGAAATTACACACTTTTGGTGTAATAGATTAGTTTGTTAAATTCTTGTAAATAGGTTAGATTAGATATATTCTGAGCTCAAACAGGTATTGATCACTCGAAGTACAGTTGGTGAACCCAAAAAGTGGAAAGAATGTGCAAAAGTTCAAAGACAAAAGAAGATCCTGAATTTTGGTCTATACTCGGTCGAGTATTAAGCATACTCGATCGGGTATTAGGTTGGAACTTCAAATCGGATCAGATCCGAAGACAAGGGAACATGCCGGGAAGATTTCGGCCACGATTTTATGTCTATACCCGATCGGGTAGACCGACATACCCGATCGGGTATGCCTTTGAGTTTCAAACGAAGATCGATCGAGTATGGTCCGAATACCATTTTCTAAGCATACTCGACCGGGTATTAATATATACTCGATCGGGTATACTTATAGAAAATAGCCTGAAACCGGTCGAGTATATCTCGGATCGAGTGTTACACACGTACTCGATCGGGTACCATGTATATACCCAATCGAGTACCCGAATCCCATCCCAAAAGTCTATAAATACACCTCCTTTCCTTCACAAAAAGGGGATCCAATTCCTTTGTACATCTAAGCTCAGTATAGAATAGCTCTTTCTTTATATTTTTCATCATGTTTAGTCTCCAAATGAGGAGCTAAACTCTTC